TTCACCACAAAATTGGTCTAATCCAAAATTCATTTATGTATTAGACCGTACACTAATATTGATAAAAATTGTTCATGACTCAATTTTTAACCAATTTTCCCAACAATCCCCCACATGAATGAAAACGAGGGCGTCGATTCTCTCTAGAGTTCCCACGAATAGTATTGCATCGGGATAGGTAGCATATAGCTTTGAACCTTCCGTAGTGGAGTTACATCGGATTTACTAGGCTGAGTAGTGAACGCGATGTCTTGAACTGTCAGCCGTTCGTGTAAACCAAGACAATGCAACCCACACAATACTATTCTCACATTTCCTTAGTTCTCATGATTGTGTCCGTTTTGGCCATGGACAGACATCTTGGATTCATAAGTGTTTGTCAAGTTTTGAAGCGGCCCTCACTTCATACACTTACATAGGTGATCTCCTATTAAAGGTATCCTGCCAATACCTCACCTTTTGTTATAAGGTTTTGGAATCATTAAAAGCGTTAGCTTATCCTTTACCCTTTCTGCAGGTAGCACTATTATCTTTCGCGGGAATGAGTTAGGAATGAGTTCCTTAGTGCTCAACTGAACTTTCTTAGCTTAGTTGTCCCTTTTGAACCAGTTCTTGGGATCTCCAGTCAGCATGGTTGGGTTACCACCAAGATTGTTCTTAATTTATGGGTTTTAATCCCATTCCCCTAGATAGGCATTGTAGTTGATCTCTTGGTAAACCTTTAGTCAACGGATCCGCTAAGTTGTCTTTAGACTTTACATAGTCTATAGAAATTATTCCATTTGAGATCAATTGCCTTATGGTATTATGTCGGCGACGAATGTGTCTAGACTTACCATTATACATGCTGCTTTGTGCCCTTCCAATTGCTGATTGACTATCGCAATGAATCAGTATTGCCGGCACTGGTTTATTCCAACACGGAATATCTTCTAGGAAATTACGAAGCCATTCCGCTTCTTCTCCAGTTTTATCTAAAGCTATGAACTCCGATTCCATTGTGGATCGAGCTATACATGTTTGCTTTGTAGATTTCCATGACACAGCAGCTCCACCTATAGTGAAAACATATCCACTTGTGGATTTAGAATCTTTGGTATCGGATATCCAATTCGCATCACTGTATCCTTCTAGTACAGATGGATATCTTGTAAAATGCAAACCAAATTCTAGAGTGTGTTTTAAATATCTAAGTACTCTAGTTAGTGCATTCCAATGGTCATTTCCGGGATTGCTTGTAAATCTACTTAATTTACTAACCGAATGAGCAATATCCGGACGAGTGCAGTTCATGACGTACATTAGACTGCCTATGATTTGAGAATATTTCAATTGATCCACTGGTTCTCCACGATTTTTGGCTAAGTGAATTTTCAAATCGATTGGGGTCGTAGCAGGTGGACTATCAAACATTTTAAATTTTTGTAGTACTTTCTCAATATAATGCGATTGAGTAAGAACCAGTCCATTGTCATTTTTGATGATTTTTACTCCCAAAATTACATCGGCTAGACCCATATCTTTCATGTCAAAATGTGTTGATAACATTTTCTTAGTTTTCACGATTATCTCGTGATTACTACCCATAATTAACATGTCATCCACGTAGAGACATATAATCACAAATTCATTTGGTGTGTTTTTAATGTATACACATTTATCACACTCGTTTATTTTAAACCCATTTGATAGTATTGTTCTATCAAATTTTTCATGCCATTGCTTGGGAGCTTGTTTTAGTCCATAAAGTGACTTCACAAGTTTACATACTTTGGACTCTTGTCCATGAGCAACAAACCCTTCGGGTTGTTCCATGTATATTTCTTCTTCTAATTCACCATTTAAAAATGCTGTCTTTACGTCCATTTGGTGAACTTCTAGATTGTGCAAAGCAGCAATTGCTAGAAGTACTCTAATTGATGTGATTCTCGTTACGGGCGAATATGTATCAAAGAAATCTAGACCTTCCTTTTGTCTAAATCCTTTGACTACTAACCTTGCCTTGTATTTATCAATCGAGCCATCGGCTTTATACTTTCTTTTGAGAATCCATTTGCATCCCAACGGTTTATTTTCCGGGGGTAAATCAACCAATACCCACGTATGATTTTGCATAATCGAATCAATTTCACTATTGATTGCTTCTTTCCAAAGCGGCGCTTCGGGAGTGGATAAGGCCTCTTTTATGGTCCTTGGATCATTTTCCAAAGTATATGTTAGGAATTCCGGTCCAAAGGACTTAGCAATTTTTGCCCTAGTACTTCGTCTAGGTTCTTCATCACTTTGAAACCCATCATTAGCAGTTTCATATGTTCTTTTGTGAGAACCCGTTGCTGATTTTTCTTTATAGGGAAATCTATCCTCAAAAAATTCAACATTTCTTGATTCAATGATAGTGCCTTCATTCATATCAAGAACATTAGACTTGTGTATTAAACATCGATATGCACTACTGTTGTTTGCGTAGCCAATAAAGATACAATCAACAGTTTTAGGCCCAATTTTTATTTGTTTTGGTTTGGGTACTTGTACCTTAACCAAACACCCCCACACTTTTAAATATTTATAGGACGGCTTGTGACCTTTCCATAATTCATAAGGGGTTTCTTTCTTTTCTCGGTGCGGAATCTTATTAAGAATATGATTTGCCGAGAGGAGTGCTTCCCCCCACAAATTCTGAGGTGAACCCGAATTTATCAACATTGCATTCATCATTTCTTTAAGAGTCCGATTTTTGCGTTCAGCAACACCATTTGATTGGGGAGAGTAAGGTGCCGTAGTTTGATGAATAATGCCGGTTTGAGAGCAAAATTCATCAAATGGAGCACCATATTCTCCACCTCTATCACTTCGAATCATTTTGATTTTCCTTCCGAGTTGATTTTCCACTTCAACTTTATAGCTTTTAAAAGCTTCCAAGGCCTCGTCTTTGCTTCTTAGCAAAAACACATAACAATATTTAGTGCAATCGTCAATAAACGTAATAAAGTATTTCTTTCCTCCTCTAGTTTGCACAAATTTTAAATCACAAATATCACTGTGAATTAAATCTAGAGGTTCCGTTGTTCTTTCAACAGAATTAAATGACGATTTAGTCATTTTTGCTTCTACACAAGTTTCACATTTTCCTTTTTGATAATCGAATTTAAGATGAGGTAGTAGTTCTAAGTCTACTAACTTTTTGAGTGTTTTAAAATTCACATGTCCTAGTCTAACATGCCATAATTTAGAACACTCTATCAAGTACATAGAAGTAGTAATTTTATTATCATCAAGCTTGTGAACAAGCGTCATTACATTCATCTTAACAAGGCCGTTATCAACATAGCCTTTCCCTATAAAACAACCATTCTTGGTGAGAATTAATTTCTCAGCCTCAAGAACTAACTTAAAACCAGCTTTAGTGAGCAATGTTCCGGAAATTAAATTTTTACGGATATCCGGAACGTGCATTACATTAACCAAAGTGAGCTCCTTCCCGGAGGTGAGCTTCAAAATAACCTTTCCTATGCCTACAACATCCGAGGTGGCAGAGTTTCCCATGAACACCTTTTGACCATTGATTGGAGTGTAGGAGGAGAACGACTCCTTGTTGGAGCATATGTGGCGAGTTGCGCCCGTATCGAGCCACCATTCCTTGGGATTGTCCACCAAGTTAGCTTCAAAGACTACGGCACATAAGTTGAGGTCGGACATGTCGATAGGAACACTTTTGTCTTCG